AAGAAAGAAAAGAAAATGATAAGCCTAGGCCTTTTGTTTTGTTATTGCTTTCGTAAAGCTTCTTCTTCTGCTTATGATGTTGTCTGTGACAAATAATATGTAAAACATAGACTAATGTTCTCTGTGCCCATCTGTTGTGATCAAACCAAAACTCTTATCTTTTCATGTCCTAATCCTACTCTAGTAGCTTGGGATTATTGTTGAACAAAGCTCCTCCTTGTGTTCCTTTCTCTTTTACACAGACCAATCTTGCAACTCTAATTATTTATTTTGGGCCCTAGAGAATATTGTATTTAGGCCCATTAAAGGCCATTTACTACTATAGGACTTGATATTTCATCCCTCTCTCGTTCGTCGTCCTGATCGAACCCCGGTCGGATTGGACAGAAACTCCTTCGTCGCCGTTTCAGCTGCTCCGACACGTCTGCTCTTCTGCCGCCGACTCCAATCCCTAATCTTTGCCTCCTTCGTTTGGTTCCGCCTCGAAAGTTTGTCACTTTCTCTTTCGGAGTTGTAAGTTTCGAATACAAAGTAAGTATGTCGGAGAGATTCTCACCGACCTTGAGGATCGGAGATCTCAGTGATTTCATTGCTCCTTCCCAAGCTTGTGTCATATCTCTCAAAGGCTCAAAACCCATCGACAAGAAGCCTGATCGACCCCAGGTCCGAATTTACATGCTTTCCCAATATTTCTCTTTCGTTTCTTTTTGTTGCATCTTCAAGTAATCACCTTACGACACTCTTCATCAGCTAAAACTGTCCTTCTCTGTTCCGATTTTGTTTTTGTAAGGTTGTGATTACCCCAAAACAGCAGCTCGAACCGGTCAAAATTTCTCTCAAGGACTGCTTGGCTTGCAGGTCAGTTCTCTCTCTTACTGCTCCACCTGAATTAGTCTAGACTTTTAGAGTCTAATATAGTTTCCATGTACCATTGCAGTGGATGCATCACATCGGCTGAAACAGTTATGCTGGAGAAGCAAAGCTTAGACGAGTTTCTCTCTGCCCTTAGCAAAAGCAAGGATGTGATCGTGTCCCTTTCCCCACAGTCGAGAACCTCTCTTGCGGTTCACTATGATATCTCTCCTCTTCAGGTTTTCAGGAAGCTAACTACCTTTTTTAAGTCTCTGGGAGTTAAAGCTGTGTTTGATACAAGCTGCAGCAGAGACTTGGCACTTATCGAAGCTTGCAATGAGTTTGTGACCCGTTTTAAGCAAGCTGGTGAAAAATCTCCAGCCCCTCTCCCTGTGCTTTCCTCCGCCTGTCCTGGTAAGCAACTTCACTAGTTAGTTTGACTTAATGGAATGCGACTCGCATTGGAGATTAATGTGCAAAACTCCTTTGAATCAAGGTTGGATATGTTACGCTGAAAAGCAGCTCGGCTCATACATTCTGCCGTATGTCTCTTCTGTTAAGAGTCCTCAGCAAACAATTGGAGCTGTGATCAAACACCATCTATGTCAAGCGTTGGGACTCAGGTACTCGTGATATTTTGGTTATCATTGGTTGTGTTTCTGCATTTTTTGGATTCAGTGGTGACCATTACATGGAACTAGGCTGGAGGAGGTGTACCATGTGACTGTGATGCCATGTTATGATAAGAAGCTCGAGGCATCGAGAGATGATTTTGTCTTTGAAGATGAAACACACGATAATGGAGGCCTCAAGCTGACTGAGGTTGATTCCGTGCTGACAACGGGCGAAATTATGGATTTAATAAAGGTGATAGAGATTAGACCCTGGTTTTCATTTTAATTTTGTTTCCATCAGCAGAAAACGTTATTCTGGTTCTGGATTATTATATTTATCTTGCAGTTGAAAGGGGTGGACTTTAAAGATTTGGAGGAATCCCCACTCGATAGATTGTAAGAGTAATCCTTATTTCATCTTCTCTGCTTCGGGGTGATGAATTCATGTGAAGTAAACATTTTCCGTTTTCCATGCAAAAAAAAAACAGGCTGACGAATGTTACCGAGGAAGGACATCTTTATGGTGTAGCTGGGAGTTCTGGTGGTTACGCAGAAACAATATTCAGACATGCGGCAAAAGCACTATTTGGACAAACTATTGAAGGTCCTCTTGAGTTTAAAACTCTCAGAAATTCTGATTTTCGTGAAGTGGCTCTTGAAGTAAGTTCCTAGCCAGACCATAACAGTTTTGCAGATATTTCTCTCACGTTTTTGTCCCATGCTCTTAATCTTTTCTCTCCAAGTTGGAAGGTAAAACAGTGTTGAAGTTTGCGCTGTGCTACGGTTTCCAGAACCTCCAGAACATTGTTCGGAGAGTGAAAACGCGCAAATGCGATTATCATTATGTGGAGATTATGGCGTGCCCTGCAGGTTCATCTTCTACTTGGCAAACTCTAGTTAAGAAACGTATCTTGTCTATTGAGTTATTAACGATTCCCCAAAATGCTGGATCGAAACAGGTTGCCTGAATGGTGGTGGGCAGATCAAGCCAAAGACAGGGCAGTCTCAGAAAGAACTGATCCACTCACTGGAAGCGACTTATATGGATGATACTGTAAGTTTGCCCTGCAGCCTCCTAGTTCTTTTATTTAGTTAGGCTAATCATATAACCTGACCCGGTTGGATACAGTCTTTGATGGTAGATCCATTCCAGAACCCAATAGCCAAGAGACTATACGAGGAGTGGCTTGAAGAGCCTGGTTCCAACAAGGCGAAGAAGTACTTGCATACTCAATACCATCCGGTCGTGAAAAGCATTACGGCACAGCTCAACAACTGGTAGACTAACCGTAGGTGTCAAAATTTTTTATTGAGAAGGGAGCAAATGCGGTGTTTTCTTTGGTTTTTGTCGCTGTTCTGTTTTGTGTATCTGTATAAAAACAAATCAGCGGGAAGCTCCTTGTTCTCGAAGTCTTATATGTAAAATACAACCATAACATAAAAAGTACAATTACACGCTCCTACTAAGCCGGAGATTTTTTGGTTGCTAGTAATTGTACACTGTTACACTTTTACATAGCGATTACTGCGTGAGGGAGGCGAGAAGCTTGTCCTTCAGCTGCTCAGCATTGCAGCCACCCTGAGGGCGGAGGGTGAATGTATGAACCACGCCCTCCTCTGTGACGGCCACATTGGAATCATGAGGTGTAACTTCATTCTCTCTCAACGTTTGTATCACCTTAGAAACTGGATGAGTTTCCAAGGGACAGCTTAGCCTCACCACGGCATCATCGTGCCTCTGTTGATAATCAACCTCTGCAGGAGTGATCTGATTACTCTCCCTCCTCTTCATTATCTGCTTCTCTGTTTCGTATACCCTTATTTTCTTCTGCATATCGGTGATGTATGTGATTGCATCTGCAAGGAGCGAAGCCTTGTCCATCTTGGAGATGTTGGGCACCACCGCTCTCAATGCGTAGAACCTCTGGTTCAGCTTTTCTCTCCTCTGCCGTTCCGCTTCCACGTGGTTTAGGGCCTCTTCTCTCCCGTTTGCTGGTTTTCTACCTCTCTTCCTCGGCTTTTGCTCGTCAGTTAGATACAATGTCTCATCTTTCCCTTGCTCATAACCGTACACTTGATTGGAACCACCGATCGCCTGTACCTCGTACGACTCCAAGGAGAAACCAGAGTCATCCTCAGTCTTTGGGGAGAAATTGATACTAATAGACCGTGGTTTGGATCCGCCAAGGCTCAGTTGTCGACCAAAGATTTTGGGAGCTTCTTTAGCATGAACAAAGTCTGATCCACCAAACACTGACTTCACCATCTCAATGACACTCTTATCTTCAGGAATGAGTTTCAAGGAACCGAGCTCCACAACTCCAGCATTCACTGGTACAGACAAGACCGTCTGGAACCCAGCGGATCTGGCCAAGAAGGACCTAACCCTGTAATAACTCAAGCAGCTAGGCAAATCAGCCGCCCAGAGCGACTTACCAGACACATAGGTTCCAGCAGGACCGTACTTATTGGAATCACACCTGAAGGAAAAGTACAAAGAAGCAAGATAAAACATGTCGAGGTCAGTGAGAGGCCCCGGTTTAACCAGACGACGATCCTCGTCTGGACCGACAAAGGACAAGTGAAGCTTGCGGAGCACACGCCTCTTGGTCTCATCGTGGTGCGAAAAGTCCCCTCCTGAAGCTCCCTTTTTGTTACGGCAGTGGCCGTCTCCCCAGATCAAGACGCAGCCATCGGAGCCGTTGACGTTGGAAGCGAGCCAGAAAAGGGCATAGTCCCAATCAGAACCTTCAACGACGTGGCGTAAACCTTGCTGCAGATTGGGGTCGCTTGGCGGGGCGACTAGCTTGGTGAGGGCAGAGTTGGAAGAGGCAGAGGAGATGAAGAAGTCGCAGGCCTCGGAGCCTATGGTGGATTCCACCATCGCACGATCTTCCTGATTCTCCCAGAACTTGAGACCCATTGATTCTCCTGACGAAAGGAACAAAATTGCAATCGCGGCGGAGATAGAAGGAAGATGGGCGTCGAATCACACACGTGTTTCTTGTTGGGACACAAATTTTAGGGTTTGTTGAATGCTTTCCCTTTAAGCTCTGATCTCTAATTTCGTATTGGCAAGAAAGTAGTGACCTTGATTCACTCAGATCTGCTATTTAGTTTAGTGAAATTGACCAAGAAAACAGAAATGAGCAAGAGACGAAGATGTCATGATAATGGGTTGAAATCCGTGAAAAATGCACAAAAACCCCAATGAAGCTTTTGTTTCACATAAAAATCTAACAAAAATATAGTTGATAATTTTCCAAAAAAATTGTTTACATTTTGGACTAAATGTAAATAAGCAGGCAATTAAAAGTTAATCCTAAAATAAGTGAAAAATCTGAAAGCAAAGTAGCCTTAGATATCCTTGACAGTGGTTCAACCAACAACATGTCATGGAAAGAGAGATTTAACATCTGGATCATGATGGGTTTGTGTTTTAGGGGAACAAACTATTACCAAGATTCCATTGCATTCTGAAATAGAAGCGCTGATTTGAGCGATGTCATGTATGTTGGAGAGAGGACTCAAGTGTCACGCCTTTGAGATAGTCTGCTCTGATCTGGTGGATATCGCCACGCATCCCGAAGAATGGCCGGCTTTCTCTATTCTTTTCGCTAAGTTTTGGGAGCTGTATGATCGACTTACTTCTTTTTTTTTATCCTTAATTTCTCGTTTGCAATGTAAAAACGGACTGTTTTGTCCGTTCTGTATGTTCTAAAGCTTTTGAATTTTTCTATGTGTGTAACTATCTGTTTAATTGGATTACTA